GAACTTAGTAAGTAGGAGGTTGATGAACCCAAAAAAAATCAAAGCAACCACAGTGTCCTTAGCCCAAATGATAGATACGAAGCACCCCTAACACTCTAAACCCTAAAACCCTAATACCCCTAAAACCAACCACAGTGTCCTCTTCTTAACCTACCTACTAAGTCGTCCTCCTGACCCTCCGAGTAGTGTCTAGAGGCAGGTGTAGACAAGGTGGAGTGAAGCTGTAAAAAAATCTAAACCCAAAACCCTGCACCGACGAGTAAGTAAAATACTTGCCCAAAACCTGTACATGTGCGCAGCGGTAGCAGCGAGAGGAGGAGGAAGAGGGAAGGGCAAAGATCATGATGCCTTCACCTCCTCCCACTAGCTTGATACAAATAAGCTAGTGGTACGAACTCACGAATGTTACCGATGTTCATTGGCTCTGAGGATTGTTCCACTGTTCGTTCTGACTTCAGACCTTCTTGCGTTTGAAGATGGGAATTCTATTTGTCATCAGCATACCCTAAACCCTAAATCCCTAAACCCTAAACCCCTAAACCCCTAAACCCCTAACCCCTAAACCCCAGTACAATCCTTGCCGTCACTAACGTTGCTACATAGTTCTTTATTGATGATCGCCCGCTTCTTCCCTAGAGCAGCAGTCAAAAAAGCTTCCAGTTACCACAGCCCCCGTCATAGTTTACTAACAATTACCTGCTAATTGCGTGTACAACCTTTAAAGCTGGAACTAAATGGGGTTAAATGGACCTAAAAAGTGAATGAAACAGGGCCCCAAAACTTTTAGGGTTTTAGGGTTTAGGGTTCTACATACTTTGGGGGTAACATCTCGAACCTACGGTTGAAAAGCTCCCGCGGGCCCCGCAGCAGAAAGTGAGGTGTTGCGACATGCCAAGGCTACTGCAGGAGCACCCTAGACCCTAAACCTACTGTAGGAGCCTAGAACTGGGATAGGGTTTGAGGGTACAGTACACTATATGGTTCAATGAGGACTGCGACAGGGCAATATTACTACTTGTTCCCGTTTCTAGTTTAAACCCCATAGAAACCCCACCTTCCATATCATTCTCCCTTTATGTGTCCATCCAATCTCCCTGAACAATCTCTCTCTGTGCATATATACAAATATAAATACGCATGCATCCTACATAACCCCTATGTAATCTTGATATAACCCTATGAAATCCGTATATGTACTATGTGACCATCCCTATATGGATGTCGTTCCAAATTCAAATATCGGTGCGCCTGCCCTTGCGCCAGCTTGCGCGCGTGG